CTGATGGTGTGAACGAATAACTTAAAGCCTGAAGCAGTGCTAGTGTATACATAAACACACACACACACACACACACACATACTTTTTCTTCCCCTTTTGCTGTTTGTATTATGTAGACCCACATTAGTGATGAAATGAGGCATGAACTTTTTTCCATCTTCTCAGAATCCACTTTGTGTTCTCTCTCTGTCTCTCATTTGATAGATCTCTCTCCCAACCTTTCTTCTTTTTTAACTTATTCAAAAGATGATATTTTGCAAATTAATTGGTAAAGTCAATATGAGTTGCTGTTTGCAATCTTTTTTCCATAATGTAACTATTTAGAATTGAAACTGGAAATTTAATGGTAAAACGTGTGTGGTGGAATCAATTGGATCATTATAAAACATTATATACCAGAATAGAAACAGTGCGAGTATGAGTTAAAACAAAGCATAAATCGTTATTTGATTATTCATTCTTAAAAAATAATTTTTATCTGGTTCCATGAACAACCTCTATCATCCATGGAACCTTTCCATTGCATAAAATGTTCTTTATTGTGGAAAAAGTTTTTTTTAGATTATTCAAATATTCTTCACCCTAAAAAAAAGTGGTTGTTCTATGGCATCGCTGTGAAAACTGCCATTTAATGAGTGCTGATTAACATTTATTCAATAGCCTGAGTGGCCGAAGTGATGTCAGCATAAGAGGAAACTTTATTTCATTTTGATTTAATGATAACGGATGAACAATTTTTTTTTTTCCTTGGAATAACATGATTCATTGATGAATCATTCACAATAATGCACATTCAGTTAGAAAATTTCTACTTTCTCAAAAACTTTTATTTCATGTTGACTCCAAACAGTGCTGCAGTTATATTCCATCCATCCATCTTCTTCCACTTATCCGGGGCTGGGTCGCAGGGGCAGGAGTCTAAGCAGAGACTTCCCAGACTTCCCTTTTCCTAGACACTTCCTCTAGCTTTCCGGGGGGACACTGAGGCCTTCCCAGGCCAGCTGGGAGACACAGTCCCTCCAGCATTGTCCTAGGTCTTTCCCGGGGTCTCCTCCCAGTAGGATGTGCTCAGAACACCTTCCCGGGAAGGCGTCCAGGAGGTGCCTGAGCCACCTCAGCTGACGCCTCTCGATGTGGAGGAGCAGCGGCTCTTGACTGAGCTCCTCCCGAATTACCGAGCTTCTCACCCTAATTCTAAGGGATCGCCCAGCCACCCTGCCGAGAAAGCTCATTTCAGCCACCTGTATCCGGGATCTTGTCCTTTCGGTCATGACCGAAAGCTCATGACCATAGGTGAGACTAGGAACGTAGAGTAGGAAAGGTCCTTCTTTACCTTGACAGACCGCTACATCGACCGCTTTACTGCTGAAGCTGCACCGATCCGATCCTCACTCGTGAACAAATCCCCAAGATACTTAATCTCCTCTACTTGAGGCAGGATCTCTCCACCAACCTGAAGTGGGCAAGCCACCCTTATCCGACTGAGGACCATGGCCTCGGATTTGGAGGTGCTGATTCTCATCCCAGCTGCTTCACACTCGGCTGCAAACCGTAAAAGTTAAGGTGATTAAAATTAAACAGAGGACCATGACGTCGCCCGGTATGGCACAGCTGGGGCCCCACTCTGGAGTGAGGCCCAGGGTTGGGCTGCCTTCCTGTGGGGTGACCACCTACAGAAAAACCACAAGGGGTCGATGCTGAGAGGATCGGGCAGCAGTCGAAGGCGGGGGCCTCGACAACCCGATCCCTGGACATGGAAACTAGCTCTAGGGAGGTGGAACGTAACCTCACTGCCGGGGAAGGAGCCTGAGATTGTACGTGAGGTAGAGAGGTTCCGACTAGAGATAGTCGGGATCACCTCTACGCACCGATTGGACTCTGGAACCACACTACTTGAGAGAGGATGGACTTTTCACCACTGGGCACACACTGGAGTTGCCCATGGTGAGAGGTGACAGGCTGGTGTGGGTTACAGTGGAGGTGGGCGGCTGTTGACCTCAACTGGGGATGTCATCAGGCGGTGGAAGGAATACTTAGAGGATCTCCTCAATCCCATCGTCACGTCGTCTATTGAGGAAGCAGAGGCTGAGGGCTCAGAGGTGGACTTGTCCATCACCCTAGCTGAAGTCACTGAGGAAGTCAAGAAACTCCTCGGTGGCAAGGCACCGGGTTGGATAAGATCTGCCCTGAGTACCTCAAATCTCTGGATGTTGTGGTGCTGTCTTGGCTGACACGCCTCTGCAGCATCGCGTGGCGGTCGGGGACAGTGCTTCTGGGATGGCAGACCGGGGTGGTGGTCCCTCTTTTTAAGAAGGAGGATTACACTTCTCAGCCTCCCTGTTTATGTCGGGGTACTGGATAGTGGAACCTCTGATTCAGGAGGGACAGTACGGTTTTCGTCCAGGCCGTGGAACACTGGACCAGCTCTATACCCTCTACAGGGTGCTGGGGGGTTCATGGGAGTTTGGCCAACCAATCCACTTGTGCTTTGTGGATTTGCAGAAGGCATTCGAATGTGTCCCTCGTGGTGGCCTGTGGAGGGTGCTCCAGGAGTATGGGATCCGGGGTCCTTTGCTAAGGGCTGTCCAGTCCCTGTATGACCGAAGCAGGAACTTGGTTCGCATTGCAGCTATATTGATTTGCTTATTAATAGTTGTACTTTTTGGAGGGTGGGGTGAGGGTAGTTATTTTCTTTAATGAGATGTTTAGTCAAAGACCTATCTGTCTCTCTGCACATTGGTTGCTCAAAAAACTTTGGTTTCTTTTATCATACTACTTTCAAAGAGCTCACACCAGTTCACCATCATGGTTTGGACTAAATGGCACCTAAACTGCACCACTGACCAACAGCAGACTAATATGATTTTCCTAATATGATTTGAATGCTTATAAATGGAAACACTACATGGAAAAAAATGTCATTTTTTTCAGTGTTTCTATTTCCAGAGGCATTATACCGCTGACGTTATGGTGCTGTATTGAGCGAGGCAGTGTGTTGTTCCTCTTTGTGTATGTGTATATGCACCAGGTGAGCGCTCAAAAAGGCCTCCTCAGCCCAAAACACCTGCCCTTCAAGTCCTGCAGCTGCCGCAAGGCCTGTGTGTGTGTGTTTGCGTTGTGCACGGTTACATGTGTATATGTGCTGGTTAGACTTTTAACATTTCAGCTAATTCTTTTTCTTTCCCTCACGCTCTTTCTCTTGCTCACTCTCTCTCCAGGGCATAGACTAATTAATGGATACCATTCGCAGTTGATTAGCTACAGTTCCTTCGGTAATTACATTCGCATACTAACCACTCAGACAAAAAGATGAGGGGGGGAGAGAGAACAAAGCAAGGGAAAAATAAATTAATGCTCTTCTCATTTTGCTCTGATCTTAATTTGTTCCTGCAATTGTTTGCCCTCCACAATAAGATAAGAAAGCCCTTCTCCCCTCTTATTTTTCGACTCTTCTGGTTGTGTAACATCTGAAGGAATCACTTTGTTTTAAACAGACAAAGGCTTGCTGTTGGATGCGCCATTGAATCAGTGCCTTGAGGCTGTTGTGAAGACTTTTTCTGGCTGTTCTGGTTGATGTTTGTGTGTGTGTGTGCGCATGGGTCCTCACGTGTGTGTGCGTGTGCATGATTTGTCTGGTTATAGAGGGCTCTCTGTGCTGGCCCTCCAGCTGCTAACCCATAATTCCTCATTTTGCTCTTCCATTGTTCCTACCTGTCAGTGTGTTTGTGTCTCAGAAGAAAAGATAGGATTCCTGCCATTTCAACAATTTGCCATCATGTTTGATTTAGAGGGGTACAGATAGAATAAAGGATCAGAATAAAGAAAAGAGCTCCATTTACTACATGGATATCCAGTAGAATAAACACCACCACCATCCCATCATATTTTTACATGTAAAATAAAGAAAATGACCTGAATATCTATGTAGCATCAGTTTTAACATCTTTAAAAAACAACAACAACAACAACAAAAAACAGACCTTTGTGTATTGGGGTTGTTTTGGAGTGCTATACAAGCTGCTTTGTGTTTACCTGCTATAATAAACTGTTATCTTTCATCAGACTCTGTGGGCATTTCAAATTATTAAGACGACTATGTGACTCCCCTGCTTTTCAAATGCAAAGTACCCCCACCTAAAGCTGCCCCATGTTTGATGCAAGGTTCATTAGCAACTGGGTTACTTCCTGTGTCTGTTATTTATTATTACCCAGTTACATGAGGGGTGAACTAATCAATGAACCGTTCTGGTACTGCTTTTCAAGATAGAATAAATATTTCAGATAACATTAATGTACAGGCCTGCCAGTATTTTCTGTGGCTGTTTGATTCCAGAATATTTGGAATCGATTCTGAAATGCGAATTCAAGTAATTATCACCATCCTTTTAAAATCTGGATTTTAAATGACTGTTCTGTGGCTGTTTTTATGGGATTTTTTTTTTTATGTATGTATTATTTCAACCAAACATTGCATTCGATTCAAAGTATCTAATGCATTACGTTTTCATGTTGTTTCTCACTAAATGTTGACAACTTGAAATATAATTAAATGAGATTGTTTTCATTTATACAGCAATATTAATCAACAGCAGTATTTACCTACTTATACATGTTTACTAAAATATTTTATTACATGAAAAAACAACACAAATACTTGTAAAACACTTTAGACGCATTGTAAAAATAATAATAATAATAATAATAATAATAAAGTTATAAATTGATCTATAAATAAAAAAAAACATAAGTTCGTGTTTTTGAATGATTCTGTTGAATGAATGATTACAAGATGTATCAGACTGCCCTGAGTAGAGTCAACTCCTCAGAATCAAGGAATTGGTTAATTTTGGATTCAACTCCTATCCCCACTATTTTGTGCATAAAATAAAATTCATTGTTATATTGTGACCACATATGCATTACACTACATAGAATACAACTATAGAGAATTAGAAAGAGGTGCAACTGAAATTACTAATCTATTCTCGTTTCTTTTGCAGTTTGGGAATAACAACAACTACATGAACATGGCTGATGCCAATGGAGCCCTGCTAGCAGGAGATGTGAGTACATTGTTGCAGATAACCTTTACATTTCTATGGATGGTAAACCATTGTTAGTTCATGCCATGGGCAGTATTATTCTGGAATCACTAAACAGTCATTTCCATGTCTAACCATTTATTGTTTCAAAACAAAGTCAATTCATTTAGCATGCTTGCCTCTCTCTGTGTTGAAATGAAGTGCTTAATTTCAGCGGCAGGTGTACAGCTGCTGCATTTACATAAAACATGATTAGCTCCCTACATGCCTTCCTTAACTGCTTTGGGATTTTCCAAACCCCAAACCCTTAAAGCTTAGAGCTTGTTACGCCAGCAGCTACGTGTTAATACACATATGTTATAATCTGAATGAATGATTCCTCCAGTAGAGCCGATATGTTTATCAGCGTAAACAGTGCAAACGGCTCAGTACTGACCAGAGGTTGAGGAGCACAGGGGGCACTGAGCATTGAGATGGGATTAGGGTCACTTTCGCAGGGGGATATACCACAGGTTTTCACATCCTGTTGGTATGCTCCAGGTGATGGCTAAAGGATCATGCATGTAAACACCTGTCCCCATGATAATTTAAAGATACCATCAAGCTAGAAAAGGAAAGAAAAGTGGCACCTCTCGCAAAAGCCACCCTTTCTCCATCAATTTTTATCCTCTGTCAGTGAGTCTGGCAATATACTGCAAATCACAGGTTGTGTATCTCAGGCTGGCCCTACTATCTGTGTGTGTGATTGTATACAGGTGTTTTACAGTATGTGTTGTCACTCACTGTTACACTCACTGTTGCCACTGCCTGATTTCCATCACATTTCCAATGCAAATCTCCTTCTCACAATCTCAACGGCATCAATAGACTCATGCTGGCTAAGCAAAGATAATCTCTGTGAACACATATGTTGTTAACGATAGGTTTGCGTGGGCCTCTCGCTTCATTTTCATTTTTTTTAAGTTCAGATGGTGGTCACGGGCAGTTGTACCCACATTTGATGGAGTCGGTTGCAATCTCCATAAATTCTTCTGATAAAAGTGTTCTTTCGCCGAGGCCAAGCTCCAAGTTGGCACCTGCAGTGGAAGTAGGGCTGTCGAGTGTTGCCTAGTTGAATTTTTTACTAAGAAATAATGTTTCCTCCTTCGCACTGCAGCTGGTATTATGACACATGACACAATGAAATTAAAAGCATTAACATTTCAATTCCTCTTTCCCATACCTGACATATGTGTAGGGGGGTTGGAAGGGGGATATTGTTTCTTGTAACTCAAGCTGAAGAGAAATTAAAGGGACTTTACCCTAGTGAGTGCTGTAATTTCACAGTGTGATGGGTTTTCCATGAGCTTTAGCTCTTTCATTAATCTGCTTAATATGTCATCTTTAGGCGAGAGAGAGTGAGAGAGTGAGACCAGGAGAGAGGGGCTAAATATCTCTGAAACTGACTCTCTGCACTTTATATACGGACCTGAATGTAATGTATATAACATTAGTTTTAATGTAAATCAGGTCTTTATAAGACATATCATCCTGTTAGATTTTTAAATACCTTTGACGATGGGGTAAATACTATCAATTTTGGCAGCTAAATAATGGCAGCTATGCTGTTGCCAGAAATTTACTGTAAAAATATTTCAGATA